CAGTAGAGATAGTAGAGGTTATTTCTATGCCATGTGTAAATTTAGATATAAGCCAGTAATCTAATCTAGATTTAACTGTACCATCTGGTTTGAACCATGTGAAGGTTTGGGTATCTGGATGTAGGGTGCGCCAAACATCATTCAACTTGAATTCGTTACAGAAATTAAGCATAATGGAATTGTAGTGATGCCTTTGAAATTTTGAAGGACATCTGTCAAGCCAATCATCTATTACCATATTATAATCTCCTCCAAAAATAATATCATAAATTAAATATCTTTGAGACAATTCCTTTAGAACATTGCTCAATTCTGTGATTAAATTCTTGTTTTGAATTTGATTATTGTAGCCGTAAATATTACCTAATATTAGAAATTTATCATTAATTTCAAAGATACAAATGATCCAATGACCTAAAGGATCTTTTTTAGTGGCAACTATTTTACCTGGAAAATTATTCAGGAATATAGCAACCCCTGCTGACCTATTTGTGCCATGACAGAAATATATTTTGTCCCCCCATTGGTTTGACCAAAATGTTTCATCTGTACTGTTGCTGTGAGTTTCCTGAAGAAGGTAACACTGTGCTCTTTCATTTTTTAAGAATAACATCGTTGCTTTTCGTTTTATGGAGTCTCTCAGACCCCTAGCCATGCTGCAGCCAAGTGTACCTCTCGACTCTCGCTTCGTCCTTCGTCGCGGAGCTGTGACGTCAGCAGCCGATGAGTTCAGCCTTCGGAGGACCCGTCCTGCTGTTTTGGACACGGCCGTAGACCTTTTTACGTAGCGCCAAGAGNAGATGGTTGTTGGTGAAAATCCCAGTAGATTGGCAGTTTCTGAAATACTCAGACCAGCCCTTCTGGCACCAACAACCATGCCACGTTCAAAGGCACTCAAATCACCTTTCTTCCCCATACTGATGCTCAGTTTGAACTGCAGGAGATTGTCTTGACCATGTCTACATGACTAAATGCACTGAGTTGCCGCCATGTGATTGGCTGATTAGAAATTAAGTGTTAACGAGCAGTTGGACAGGTGTACCTAATAAAGTGGCCGGTGAGTGTAGTTTCAGGTTTTCTGGCATCAAGCATTTGATGTTTTGACATTGAAGCAGTGAACTTGATGAAAACACAATTGATGTGAAGATAAAGTTACAATTGTTCATGTTTTCAGTGGTTCCTGCAGATGCTCAACAGTTGGTGTTGATTCCAGAAGAGGCTCCTGAAGAATGGAGGCCTGGTGTGGACCAGCAGAATCCAGAGCCCCTCCACATAAAGGAGGAGGAGGAGGAGGAACTCTGCACCAGTCTGAAGGAAGAGCAGCTCAGTGTGAAAGAGGAGACTGATGCCACCAGGTCTCCCTCCACTGCAGTTGCTTTGAAGAGTGATGATGATGATGAAGAGAAACCTCTGTTGTCACAGCTTCATCAACACCAAATGAAAGACAGAGATCCTCCAACCAGCAGCTCAGCTGTCCAGATGGAAACAGCCACTGGTGGAGAAGAATATGGAGCAGCAGCAACTAGAAGGAACCAAGATCTGAATCCTTATGAAGATGATTTAGACTCTTCAGAGACTGAAGTCGGTGATGATGATGAAGATAAACAGCTTCATCAAAACCAAATGGAAGACAGAGATCCTCCAACCAGCAGCTCAGCTGACTGGATGGAACCAGTGACTGATGGAGAGGATGATGAAGGACCAGAAACTACTATGACCTCACATCTGAACACAGATGAAGACAATTCCAACTCTTCAGAGACTGAGGTCAATGATGATGATGATGGGTATAGTCCTGACTTTCAGCTAAAACTTGAATCAGATTCTGGGTCAAAAACTGAAAACAGCTTCAAAGGCTGGAAGGAGCGGAGGCTTCCGAAGTCAAGAGCAAACAGCATCACCAAATCTTTGAGCTGCTCTGAGTGTAGTAAGAGACACATGAAAGGTAATTCAAAAATTAAGTCTTCCAGTTTTTTGGTGATTAACAAATACATAAAAGTGGGAAAAAAAATACCGTCCCTCAGTAAAGTCCACACAACACAGAAATCATTTAGATGTGACGACTGTGGCAAAAGATTTATCAGAAAAGCAAATCGAAATACACATTCAAGAATCCACAGAGTGAAACAGTTTGTTTGTAAACTTTGTGGACATAGATTTAGTAAAAAAACAATTTTAAACATACACATGAGGATCCACACAGGACAGAAACCATTTATTTGTAACGTTTGTGAACAAAGATTTACCCAAAAAACAAATTTAAACATACACATAAGGATCCACACAGGACAGAAACCATTTGTTTGTGATGTTTGCGAACAAAGATTTAGCCAAAAAACACACCTAAACACACACATGATGATCCACACCGGACAGAAACCATTTGCTTGTGATGTTTGTGAACAAAGATTTAGCCGAAAGACACGCCTAAACACACACATGATGATCCACACCGGACAGAAACCATTTATTTGTGATGTTTGTGAACAAAGATTTATCCAAAAATCACACCTAAACACACACATGATGATCCACACCGGACAGAAACCATTTGCTTGTGATGTTTGTGAACAAAGATTTAGCCAAAAATCAAACTTAAACACGCACATGATGAGGATCCATACAGGACAGAAACCATTTGCTTGTGATGTTTGTGAACAAA